AAAAAAAAAAAAAATACTTACTACACACCAGGTGCTGTCCGAACTGCTTCCTATAGATTAACATGAGAACTCTCACAAGAGCTACGGGGTGGGCATCTCTGCTCCTATTTTCCAAATGAGGAAAGGGAGGCATGGAGAGATTGGATAACTTGCTAGGTACTGTGGTCGGCAAATTATCACTGCCTTCCATAATCCAGGGAAATATTTTCCAGTTGTGTTTTTTGGAACCCTGAACCAGTACTTCAAGGGTAGTGGGAGGGATAACCTTTCAATCACTCACTTGTTCAACTAAAATGTACTGACTGCCTGTGCCAGGTATATGGAAGATGAGTCATGTCCTTTCACAGGAGACAAACGTGCATGTGTGTGAGATGACTGCAGGTGCAGAGACTGCTCTGAAGGTCATAGGATAATGGCTTCGGTGGACTGGATGGTCAGGGAAGGCCACGGGCTAAAAGGCACTGAGCTGAGACCAAGCTGGGAGTGTTTACAGCACGGCTGGGCTTGGTTGGAGCACCTCAAGCAGAAGGCAAAGGGAGATGAACTCTGGTGTTTGATCTTTTTTTTTACACCAGATTTCATTAGATTAAAAAGGCTTAAAAAAAAAAAGCTGGATCATTGGACAAATAGTTGGAAGGAAGCTGGATGGGAAAAAAGCTTGGAAACCACTGATGTTAAGCAAGCTTTGCCATTTTAGGAATGAGTCCAGAGTTCCGACCTCAGCTTGAGGCCTGACTGCTGTGTAATGCTGAGAAAGTTCCTGGGCTTCTCTGGTCCTCACTCCAGTCCCATTCCATGCAACGACAACTACCTACAAAAGTATCTGGGAATGAACTAAAGAGGGCTGTGAGGAAGGAAGCCCATGAGGTGCAAGATATGGGGTGGATGTGGACACTGGGGCTCCTATGGGATAGGCAGAGGTAACAGAGTAATCTCTAGGCAGGTGTTTGAGAGCTGCTGGTGGGAAGACACCCTTGGAACAAATGAGACTTGTTCATTTATATCACTGCCTGGATCATCCTCTCCAGGGCTTAAGATAGAAAGTATTAAGTCCAAGCCACAGCAAGTGCTAGAAGTCAGGTACAAAATGTAGTGGATTTTCTAAGTGAGAGAAGAATGGAATTTTGGTCTCAAAAATCACACTGTCAAATTATGCGGACACTTGAGAGGTGGGAACTGGGTAAATTACTTGAATAAATCAGTTACTGTTCATAATACACACCCACATTCTTATTTTTTCGGGAGGTGGGATGGCGTTTGAACTCAGGGTTTTGTGCTTGCAAAGCAGGTACTCTACTACTTGAGCCACACCTCCAGTTCATTTGGTTCTGGTTATTTTGGAGATGGAGGGGGGCGGTTCTCAACAAATATTTGGTTGGGCTGGCCTCGATCCTTGATCCTCCCCATCTCAGCTAGGTTTACAGGTGTGAGCCATCGGTGCTCAGCCTCACATTCTTTTAAAATAATCAAATAACTGCGAATGTTTCTGGAAGAGAGCCCGCGTGTGCGCTCCGCTCCGAGCGTGTCTGTGTGCGCACACACATGCCTTCGTGGGCATGTGTGAGTGTGGTTGCTTAGCTCTAAGGCTTCCTATTACTCCTTATGCTTCAGAGCTTAGGAAACCAAGGCATAGAGCAGTCATCAACCTAACAGTAAAGCAAAAGATGTGCATTTTGAAAACTTCAGAGAATAAAATGATTATTTAAGAAAGGTCCAGGAGGTTTCTGCATGCTACCTCTTGATACGGTGGCGCCCCAAGCTTTATCAGCGTGGGCCCTGGAAGCCACTTACACAGCCTGGGCTAGTGATTAGATAAGTAAGCAAAGTGTTAGGTGAGCTGCCTAAGTGTGTCTTGTCCCTCAGTGAGCCCTGAGAGATTACACCAGTGTCTGTTGCATATTTTTTGTGTGCCTTAGTCTTCCTGCTCACTCTTAGGAGGAGAAGAGCTGAGGGCCAATTACATTTTGAAAGCCAAAAGAAACTACGGATACCAGTAGTCACATAGGGCATTCTTTCAATGAGGTGCTCACCATTTTCCTACATGCGTGGTCATAGTCAGATCAAAGGTTTCCTTTAGGTAACTATCTGTAACTGGAATTAGAATTTTGAAAGGCTGGGACCAGTTCTCCAAGCCACTGCCTTCCTGGTTCTATGTATTTGAGAGTGTACCCCAAAGCTGCAAACAGCTCATCACCCCCACACTTTTTTTTGGTGATGGTACTGAGGTTTGAACTCAGGACTTTGTGCTTGATAGGCAAATGCTGTGCCATTTGAGTCATGTCTCTAGTCTTGTTTAAAGACAAAAAGTCTTTAAAGCTATTTTGTTTAGATAAAGTCTCACTTTTTGCCCAGTCTTGCCTGGGACCGTGATCTTCCTACCAATGCCTCCCGAGTAGCTGGGATTATAGATGTGAGCCACCATGCCAGGATCCGCAAACAGCTCATTCTTTATGAGGAAATGAGCAGAGAGATCCCTGAGCCTCACTGAAGATTTCTGCAGAACGGCCAGCATCTTCCCTAAAGCCAAGTTTTCACTTTCCCACAATGTGTCATTTGGCTGTCATCTTTCACATCTTTTGATCCCATTTTGTCAAGTTCCTCTTCCCACCTTCCCTTTATCAGAAATCCCCCCAGGCCACCCTCAGCTGCAGGATAAGGCATGAAATCAGAAGACTCTGGGGCTCCTCTATGGCCAGCCATGGTGAGGCCACTCAGCATCGCAGCAGGAGGAGGCGGGGTTTGGGGGAGGCGGAGCCTAGGGGAGGAGGAGTCTGCGGAGGTGGGGCCTGGAGAAGGCAGGGCCTTGCTTACCCTGGTGATCTGGATGTTGTTCAGCTGCTGCTGCCAGTGTAGAATGGTCTCCATCCGATACACCCACATGTTAATGTTCCCCACTAGCACAGACTTGCCCACTCTCTGGACCAGTGTACATAAGGATGTGTAGAGGGTCTGGAGTAGTTCCCTTATTAACCTAATGTTTTGCTGGTCTTCAAGCACTGGAGTGGGGAAGAAAACAGAAAGTTATTATACTAAAACCGTGCGTATTTTATAAGTGGACTTTTCTGTCTGCTTTCATCACCTGGACCCTGCCTTTGGGGATATGCTTTTCTTTCTCACTGGTGTTTATTCTACACTTGGCCAAGCTCCTGCATTAAAGCTAAGCCACAGAGTTTCCTTTATCTCACTCCTTCTTTGTTCTCTCCTTCCTGGGTTTCTATAAAGCTCCTTTCTCTTTCCATTGTTCCACCACCGCCAATGGCACCTGATCAGAAAGTCACTTCATTTGCATGGCAGTGACCGCTTTAGATGGTCAGTGGAAGAAACATGGTTCTGGGGGTTAGGAGCTGATATTGTCTGGCTAATCTGTGTGTGATTATGGACAAAGTACTTCTCACAGGCGTTAGTTTCCCCATGTGCAGGGCCCAGTTAAGCCAGAGACCCAAGCTTCCCTTAGTTGAAAGTCTACGAATCTAGTCGACCTTGTGCCATGGCTCCATTTTCTAAGAATCTGGAGGCTCGGGGTGGGGCGAGGAGTCACCATGACTGAAAGGCCTGGGAGGCCTGGAGCAGGGCAAATGGATGATCCCAAAGAAAGGACAAGAGGGTGATGGTTTCTTTCTTTGCTGTGGGAATGAGTTGTACCCCTTTCTTTTGGCAGTACTGGGGTTTGAACTTAGGCCCTCATGCTTGCTAAGCAAGTGCTTTACCACTTAAGGATATTCCCAGCCTTTTATGCTTCAGTTATTTTTCAGATAAGGTCTTGTGGTTTCTGGCTGGGCTGGTCTCAGACTGCTATCTTCTTCCCATCTTTACCTCATAAGCAGCTGGGATTACACTATGAACCAACATGCCCAGCTTATTGGTTGAGATGGGTCTCTCTAATGTTTCAAAAGCCCAGGCTGGCCTTGAACCACAATCCCCCTATCTCCACCTACCAAATAGTTGGGATTACTAGAGTGAGTCACTGTGCCTAGCCCTACTGCTTTCTGAATCAAAACCTGGCACCCTTCAAATGCAGCTGGAATTATTAATTTCCATCTACTCACGTTACTTTAAATCTAATGACTTGTCTACTTTATCAGAAAATCCACCTGCTCAACCCTGTGCCTATAAAAAGAGGTGAGAGAGTGCAAGAGAGCTCACCCTTCAGAACCACTTTTTCCAAAATGTTCATGAAGTTCTTTTGAGCGATGCCACTCAGGGATGTGAGCTGTGACTTTGCTATCAGTTCCAACAGCTGTGGATAAAAATAGAAGTTGCCAGGCTTAAAATACAGAGATATTTTTCTCCTGTAATCTTCACTTTTGAGTCATATGACGCGTAGATACAGACTGACGGGAGAGAGATAAATGGCAGGGAGGCCACCAGCCAATAAAAAGCAGATGCTTTGAGTGAAAGACAAATGGGGTAATTCAAAACCCAGGAGTCAGGCTGAATATTTAATTGCTTTTTTTCTTTTAAATATAAAGAGTTTTGGCTTCAGTCAAGGCTAATCCATTCTACTTGTCCTACTTCTTCGGCAAGAGGAGCTGACAGTACTGTGAAAGGAACAAAACCTCCTGTGCCCTGTGAACATCTGAGCTCTGAATAGTCATCCTCGGTGGGAATGGCTTTGCCCCCACTCGAACTTCTTCCCCACTGGCACTGACTGCTCCCCAGGCACCGAAAAGCTCAGGTTCACCAGCCATGTGCACTTTATAAAGGAGTGACGATCCTTTTGCAGATAGCACCTGTCTATGCAGTGCTCAATAAACACATCTATTAAAGGCTCCCAGTACACTCAACCTTCTATAGAAAGCAGATAATCGTAGGGAGAGAGTGGTTCAGGGACGTACAGGATGGGGTCCTGTGTCTTGCCAGAAGCTATGATGTCACCATGGCTAAGAACTAGGATCGTACAGCTCTGAACCTGGACCAAGTCTGGATTGGACCACTTATTAGCAAGTCACGGAATTTCCTGATGTCCCAGAGTCTTTACTTCTACCAATACCACTTAAGAGTTCTCAAGGTTTTTGTGAGCTTTATTTATTTTTTGGTGGTATTGTGGTTTGAATTCAGGGCCTCACGCTTGCTAAGCAGGCACTCTACAACTTGAGCCACTCTGCCAGCCCTGTTGTGAACTTTAAATGAAAGGATTACTATAAAGCCTGGCACAAATTAGGTGCTGAATAAAGGTTGGATCACTTATGAGGACTATGTTCACTGTTACCATCCCCAGTATTGCCAGACAAAAAGAAACCAAGATAATAATAACTGAAGTTGGTGCAGCCTCTATTCAATCTTTCTTTCCTTCAATAGCAAAATTCTGTACAGATGTGACATGAACTTTAAAAAAAAAATCAAAGATTCTATTGTTTAAAAGTACAGCTTTATACTGTAAGGAGCCTTAGAGGTCATCTAGACCAACCCACTTACCAGATGAGCAAAGTAAGGCTCAAGCCTCTAAAGCTGCCAAAATAGTGGGAGGATTCAGCAGCTCCTTCTCAAGCCAGGAAAATGGGACACATGTCACACTTTCAGAGAGTCAAAAAAAGGGGTTTAATATAGAGTAAAAACAATTGATTTCATCAGAACTAAGAAAAACCAGGTCCCTAAGAAAAACTAAGTTGGTTCAGTCTTAGTTAAACTAGACTTAGAAAACCAAGACCCCTTGGTGCTTGGAATCTCCGCTCCTATGACACTTTCTATGAGAGTTTCATCTGGTCAGGACCCTGCCCTACTTCGTTTCAGATCCATAAATAATGAGAATGATACTGTGTTGGGTGCTGGAATCAAGGCTAAAGGAAGACGCAAAGTGGAATTCTAAACAAAAACAAAAAAGAAAAGAAGAAATCAAAGCTGGGCTGCAGACAACTGCAACCTTGGATCAGTGCCCTGGGGAAGTTCAGAGAACCTTGGCTTCCCAGGCATTGGTTTAAACATTTGTCCCCACTGAGCCCTTTGGGTGCCTGTCAAACCACATACAGACTTAATTTTCTGAACATAATTTTACTTTAAATAATAATAAAAAAAAAGCCCCAAATGCTTATCCTGCCTGGTTTCTATATCCTTTATACATGCAGGGAGAAACAGGGCCACCTGACTGGGAGGAGGTAAGGCTGCTTTTTTATGATTAGGCTAGAAGTCAGGAGATGACAAGAGTGGTGTTGAGACCAAAGAAATCAAAACACCGTTCGTGGATCACACTGAATGCTCTCTGCCTGTCTGGTTTAGTTCTGCCACCAACCAGCACCTGACAGACAAGAGAGCAGCAAAAACAGCACAGAGGGATTGGCCAAGCCTTTCATTTATCTCCCTGACCAACAGAATGATCTAGAAGGCCGAGCTGATGGTTTATTAATATCCTGAGCCTCATGACCAGCACAAAGCAAGATGAACGAAAACAAAAGCTCAGAGCCCATTCTTGCAGGGCGGTTGGCTGACACTATGACTCATCGCTGGGTGGGAGGTGGGTCAGGGGGCAGGAGGAGGCAGGCAGCGCTCTGCCTGAAACCCATCCAAAACCCAGGTCCCATGTGACCACCAGCTCTTGAGGGTGTCAGTTTTAAACACATCTAAAAATGCACCAACCACAAGGACAAGAAAACGCTGGAGGCTATGACTGTGCATTTAAGGGGAAACAAAAAGCCCTTTGGACCAGCTCAGGTTATCTTTCTTTGACTAAATAGGGGGAGGAACATAGCAGCAAAAATTTATCACCTGACAGCAGAATGACATGTCAACTGCTCTGATCTCAAGAGAAAGATCCTTTTTCACTTCCAGGTGGTGGATTCTCTGGCTGGGTGACCTTTACAACTGTCATTCATTTAGCAAGTATTTCTTAGTGTCCACTCTGCCCTATAGTTGCAGTAGGTGACGGGGGTATGATGACAAGGACACATGATCCCTAGACTCACAGAATTTTCCGTTTTGTCACCTAGCCCATTTCTTCATCTCTACAAGGGCAATGACAAGATTCCCTACATCATGGGATCATTATGAGAATCAAGTGAGAGAAATATGTAAAAATCCAACTGTAAATACCAAATATAAGGCATTATTATTATAAAATTACTCTTCCAAATTTTAGTCTTTTAGGGAAGTTTAAAATTGGTATCTGTTGTTAGCAAAGTTGTTTTATAAAGGGTCAGACAGCAAATGTTTTAAGGTTTGTGGATCAGATGGTCTCTACAGTAACACTCAACTCTGCATTTATAGCACAAAAGCTGCATACACAATATGTAAATGAATGTACATAAATGTGTGCCAATAAAACTTTATTTACAAAAGCAGGTGAGGGCCAGATGTGGCCCCTGGGCCATAGTTTGCCACTTCTGGTTTATATCACAAAGTTTAAGAGTGAAGACTCCAGAGTCTTCTGGACTCTTCTGGAGTCTTCTGCCCACCTCAGTTTTCCCATCTGTAAACTATGTATGTGAATAGTACCTACTTCACAGTTGCCATGAAGAATGAATGTGTTCATAAAGGATTTACAACTGTGCCTGGTACTAAGAATATATTCAATTGATTATTATCACTGGTTATCATAATTCAGAGAACACTGCCAGATAAAATTATTGCCAGGCAGAAAACAATGAATCAAAATGGTTTAAGAGCCTGTATTTCCACTGCATGTGTTGTCAATAATATTCCTTTCTGTCATTTTTATTATGTTTGTGATGTATCTAGTTGATAAGTTAATGCTAATACGTTTTATGACTCACGTAGCTGTACCTATCATGCAGTCTTATTTTGCTAACAAAGGGTTTCTTTCAGCTAGAGGCTGTGCTATGGATTCCCATGCATGATCTTGTTTAATGTTCAATGACAACCCACTGAGGTAGGTTCCCCATTTGACAAACAAAGATACTGAGGCTCAGAGGAGTTAAGCAGCTCACCTAAAGACATTCTAGTAGCAGCAAGTGGGGGAGTCAAGGCTTGAGTCCAGGTATGTCTAACAGAGAATATGTATTTTGATAGCATAAAGACTTCAAGTTGTCAAAGCCGATCAATTTTGCATGTAGGGCCAAATTTCACTTTAAAAACAGTAATAATATATGTTAATTAAAAAAAAAAGAAGAACAGTAGTAATACCACAGATTGTGTGTGCTAGGAAAAGAAGCTAGAAATTTTATAGCAATACTATGCTGTGATTGGTAATCATCTTTTTACATGAAGGGAGAAATAGTTCCCACTAAGTGGTACTAGCATGTTGAAGAGGAGGCAGTTGTGTTGGGTCACTCATGAGGTCTACCTCCCGCATTAGCACGGTGCTCCAGCCCAGGGCCAGTAGGCAGTGCTGTGTGGGCCTAGTAGCATGAGGACAGAATCTATTCATTTTATTTCTGTGTTGAGAGAACTGTGTGCCCAGGGAGTAGGTTTGTATCTAGAAATTTGTTTACCAAGATGACTGAGCCAACTGGTTTCCTTGCCCTTAGCCACAGAGAAAGACAGAGTGAAGGAAAATATCTTGTTTGGAGGTGGCTGTTTGTTTTCTGCTGGGCAAATTTTAACCCAGGTGCCAGCAATGTGTGGCTGTGTTGAAGGAGAGGTGGAGGATTGAGGGGAACACAGAGGAGGGCTATGGGTGCTCCTGAATTCCATGCTGTCACTGCTGTGTGGTTTGTGTGGTGGTCTCGCATGAGAAGCAGAGACTCATTGTGCAGTCAGAGAATGGAGGGAGAATGGGTGGCTACTGCATGCCCAAACCACATCCTGCCCTTCAACTCTGGCTCATGCTAGTTTTGGAGACGGTGAGTTGGAGAAAAATCTAGTTGCAAGCAATGACGGATAGCAAATCTTCGAGTGCATATCCACTATAGCTTGAAGTGTTAGGTGGAAGACGAGAAGGCAGGACAAAGATTTCCCTCCTATCTCACTTTACTCGAAACAGATCTCTTCTCTTCTCTTCAGTTCATTCTAGCATAGTTAGTTACTTCCCTACTGGAACCCTTCAAATGGCTTCCGTTTGCACTCAGGAGATGTGCTCCTTACCACACTTGGCAAGGTTCTCCAGAATATGCCCCTCATCTTCAGCTTCACTTTGCACAATGGTATCCAAACTCATTCTGCCCAGCTGCACTAGATGACTTTCATTCCTTGAAAAGGCCAAGCTCATTCCGACCTCTGGCCTCTGCTTCAGCCATACCTTGACATGTCTATCTCCTTATCCCTCAGGCTTCATTTTGAATGCCACCTGCCTGGAGCTCAGAGAGATCTTTCCTGACATCCTAAACAAAAGCCACTCCCTTGCCATCT